GGTGCTCAGTCATCGTACAGCTGAGTTTACGTATCGTCAGTAAGTATTCGAAACAGGTACGAGCTAAAGACTTAGACATGCTTAACATGTCGGCGTAAGGCCAAGTCCATCCTCACGGGTCGCCCGGCTTTCCTGAATGGGCTTCGAGCATGACTCGAATAGGCTGATTTTAAAATCGAGGTTGAACCTGAAGGGTCCTGTTCCGACGATTTTACCTCACGCCCCTTCGATTCTTCCTGCCAAAATTGCAGTATCGGCCATTCTTAATTTTTCCCCTCGCGTGCACCAGTGGTCTGTCTGAACCTGCTGACCGACTAACAATAAGACTCTGTGCAGTGGCTGAAATAGTAGCATACCTTTTTTCATTGATTTTCGATGCCCTTAAAGACTTAATTATATTTCATGGAAAACAGGCATAAAAATATTCATTCTTTTATTTATTCGGTAGAAAATCATGTCTTCTTCCAATTTCATACTCAAAAGAAGATTATAATTCGGTTTTAAAAAAGTTTCCAATTGTGAGATTTTTTAATACCGTTAAATGGTCGTTCATGAAACGTCATGTATCTGCATTTACAAATGTGGCCAAAATTACAGCATCGACCATTCTTTATTTTTCCTCTCGCATGCACCAGTGGTCTGTTTGAACCTGCTGGCCGACTAGCAGTAACACTCTGCGCAGTGGCTGAAATAGTTTGAACCTGAGTCCAACGCGTGTCCAGTGAATGCAGCGCAATAGTCAAGGACTCGCGCGGATTCGGCGCGGCCCATGACCCAGTGCGGCATCCGTTAGTTGAGTAGCCTATTATCTGGAGCCGACAACTTCATATGACATTTCGACCGTCCTGATGTCTACCGTGTGCTCTGCAGCAGAGTGAAGGCAGGGACGATGACTTGGGCGCATGCATACGTCAACAACCGTCCCGGCCACATTTCGAGGCAGTGCAACGAAAGTTTGACCGTCACAGCCGATGATATCCACCCTGGGTTCCACGGCAGGGTGAGGGTTGGAACGGTGACTTGGGCGTGAAATAGGTTACAGTGCGGGTGCACGCACGGATACCCTCACCTGGTTTAGCCCGCCGGTCGAGACGGTTGCCCGGGGTGTGGCCGCTGAGCAGAGCCCAGCTACGTGGAGCCACAGGTGAGAGTTAGGTGCCAGCAAGTGGACGCTAGGCTAGTCTTACCTGCAAGCAAGTGAGCGACCACTACGGCCATCACGTGAACCCTCCGCTGACACCCCTACACCCCACACACACGCACACACACACACACATGACAGTTCGACCATCGATTTCGATTATGTACACCGTTAGCCCCACACCTGCAGCTGCTACGGTGGGAGCAGGGACGGTGACTTGCGCAGGGGTTTGTAGTGCCGGTAGACTTGCGCAGCACCTACCGCACTCCCTCCGCCTCCTTCCACTTGGGCCCGCTGTCAAGACAGAGTCACGAAGACCGAAGGCGGGGGAGGGCACAGGTGGCTGGCACATCGTAAACCCCCATCTAGGCGCCCCACCACGGCATCTAGTCTACAACGTACACGGACCAGGACTTTCGACCACAAGATAAAGGGGACGGCACGTAGCCCCACTTGGAGCTTCGGGAGCCTACATGTGGGCGTGTCACCATAACCCAAGGTTGACATTTGTAGTGGGTGCGCATTCCCGGTAACGTCTGCCGGACTCCAATCTAACCCTCCCCCCCTGTGCTGGTCCAGCGCATCTACTGCGTGGCCCGTTTTAGGGGGACAAAAACCATTGGATATACATTAAAGGCAGAAACGCGATTCCTACAGTCACCCCTTTCTCACCAAAGTCTGGTGCGTACTGTCGCGGTTCCCGTTTCTCTGCACCCACCGCCCCCCCCTCGCATCTTCTACTTCCTTCCCATTCTACAGATAAGGACGCTGAGCGACCAGCTGACGCAGGAAATCAGCCGGCGACACCTGTACATGTCAACCGGAAAACTGCCGACCTCACCGGCAGCCGCAGTTCCTCTCACCTACAGCGCCTCTGCCTCCCTTCGTGGCCGCTACCCCTCCGGTCCTGGCAGCAGCCACGCCTCCTTCTTACTGTCCCATGCCTCGCGGGAGACCCTTGTGCACCAGTCGAACATCGACACAGAACCCGTCAAGGTAAACCCCTTCTCACTGCACCCCCTGCCCTTCCTCATGTGTGGAACTGGGGCATTGCGTCGGGTAGACGGGTTACAGTTAGACAAGGATATTCTGGATATGCTTGAGTTTTACGTATTACGTCCCCAAAATTCGGAAGTCTCATTGGGGCCCATAATCAGGGCTAAAGGAAAAACATGCAGTCAAGTCCAAATCCAGGCTCCGCCGGGAGTAATTTTCATTCGGGCTATTGGCCTGCCTGCGCAGAGCACGGTAGGTGGGTGGAAGATCGACACAACTGCTGATCGATTCATCAGTCAAGTGTTGTGCCTCCTGCATTTGGCTCGAAATCCGATCATACACCTTGCCCAAGATCGTCACAAGATCGGAAGTGAAGTTGCGTCTAGGAGAGGATGACTAGACCTCCACCAGTATCGGTTTGCGTTTCTGCCAAACAACGAGTTCAAACCCACACATCCTCATTTGCACTTGATCGCCTTTTTCAGCAACATAACTGACTCTACGGCAACAGCTTTTCATATGGTTATTGGCTTTCAACCGATTGCTAATGGACAGTCGGTTTGCGAGTAGTCGTTTCCGATCTGTTTATATCTCCAGTCCTTTTTCCACTCGTTAACCCAGTGAGTTTTTCGGATGTATCAAAAACGTGCGACCTAAGTTTCGTCCTCACAGTTTCCCATTTCGATTTTAGCCGACGTATAAACTTATGCTAACCAAAACCAGACGTCGAGTCCTATTCAAACCTGGGGGCGAATATTGGACAGGACATGGGAGCAAGAACTCCCCCCTGCCCCCGGGTTATACATGTGTCCTAACTCTAAAATGCACCCGAAACTTAACCCTAATATTAACCATGGCCCTTAAATCAATCCCAACCGTAATCTCCCTCGAAAGTGGCGCACGACTACGGAGTAAGGGGGAAGCTCCCATTCCCGTGTCTTGTTGACAACGGCTAATAAACAAGAAATGTCGCCCCGGTCTCCCTTATCATTGTCGATACTCCTTCCTGAATGATCACTGGTCGCCTGCTTTCTATTGCCCGCGAGAGATCTAGATTGAATCTCTGGGCGCAACAGGACGAATGCACTTCCAACGACAGTAATGAAGGATTGTTAGAAGTTTTGATTGGCACATCGGCTACTCCTAACTTGCATTTGCGCTAACCTTCAGCCCGCCTAGCCTCCTTAACACCAGAATCAGTTTTTAGTTGGCATTTCACAATGACCCCCTGTTCTTTGATCCACCACTTTACAGGAAGATGACCAAGGCCGGACAGCCAAAAGCAAACCACCCTCAGGAATTCAGTCGACGGCAGTTTGCGAGTCCCAGCCCAGTATCGCGGAGTCCCAAGTGACCAAATCTGGTCGGGCGCAGCCAATGCCCCTGGAGTCCTCCGAGAGAACGCCTCTGGGTCTTCTGCGCGTCGCCTCCTCGGGCAGTTCACAGCTGATGGAGTCCCCCAAAAAGTACAGTCACCATGCCCGCTCGGCCAGTCTTGACATGGACTATTAGAGACCGTCCTGGGCAATCCGACTGACACAGCAAAAAGTCCACATTCCCCCTCTGCCTCTCACTCTCATGTTTCACTTCACCCCAGCTGTCTCCGTCTCATTGAAGTACTCCTCTATTTTCTCGAGTCCTCATCTTTCGAATCTGCCCAGTCTCCAACCTAATAATGATGTCGGTCCTTCAACCGATTCTTTACAATCTCATCTGTCTTATTTTTTTCTCTCGTTCTTCGCATTTATCGCTCTGGTAGTGGACGCCATTTTCACTGCACACACACACACTCTCCTCTGTTGGTTTGGGGCACTGTTTGTTTCTCACTCCTCTCCTTGTGAAATGCAGGCCTCGACCACACACTTCGGCACCCTCAGCTCCAACTCCTCCTCCAAGACCGCCGTGAAACCACCGACAAGGAGCTTGTCACTTTCGAACTCCC